TAATATCGACGTCCAGGACAGAATTGACATTGCTAAATTCGCTGGTCATTCCACTTCCCACTCCCTGTGCTTTTTTTCGTATTAGTGCTGTTAAAGCTGCTAAAACTGTTTTCCAACCACTCGCGTGGGCTGTAGGCCAAAACTCAAAGTCAAAGTGGAGTAGCTAGTTATTCACTTAGCAATCGGGAAGAATCACTAAAGAGTACTCACGCTCAAATGACGGTTGGTCCTCACTATCCACGCATTACGGAAAGCAAGGTGACTAGGGGCTATTTATGTCGAAGTAAAATCCAAGAGAAGGCAAAAAATGTTTCGAAACCTGAAAATCGATCGTCACTGTCTCATCAGGTATTTCAGTAAAACACTGAAGTTGTGTTTGAATCGGGGACCTACGTCAAACTTGGACTGCTACTTAATGTTTGCTCCAAAAATAAAATTTTCTTGTTGTGCTTAATTTTCATGATTTTTGAATTTTTCTGCCTATTACTCTCTTCTCGTAGGCCTACGATACAAGTGCCACTAGTTATCGTTCTATGCAACAACCTTCAGAAACCACGAAAGATACCGGGTAAAAGTTATACTTATCACAATTTGAACTCATATGTACCGTTTTAGCCTGCATTTCCTATGTTGTGTCTATCACCAAGTTTTCAATTCGCTTAAGTTTCTTCATAAATAATTATAAGTTTCCTGACATGCGTCAATACCTTTTTGCGAGCAATCATCCATCTTTCGCAAATTTCGGCATGAGCACTCATCAGAGTTTCTTTCTAAGCAGCTGACATTAGACAGTTCGACGGCCGCAAGTGACGAATAACCTACAGTGGCACAGAACATAGTTGGGGCAGGAAGGTGACATAGGTATGATTACACTTACAGTACGTACAGAGCTGCGCCCATTCACCGCACATCCTCCTCCCCTCCATTGGTTTGGGCCTGGTGGCAAGACAGATTCAGTTTGACCGGAGGCGGACTCGGAAGCAGTGGCTAACAAAGTTAATCAGCCTTCTACGGCAAACTGGTACCCGCAGACATTTGTAATTATTCAATGGTAGATAAGTGCTCACCAATCGCTCTAGGGAACTTCCTCGTCAATGGAGACTGGAATGGTCATTCCAGGCTTGCTAGCCGCCCCAAGGCAAGACAAGATAAGCGAGTCCTGTAACCGATTGGTGAGCGCCTATCTATCCTTATGCATACTTCCGATCGAAAGTGGTGTTGCAACGAGCCCGCGACGCAGTGGTTAGAGCGATGGACTTTTAGCCAACCGGTTACGGGTTCAAGCCGCAACTGGCTGGTTTCTGATGGTTAAGAAGCCAGAAATAGTCACTCCAATCTCCAATTTCTTGGGGGTTACAGTATCTTGTAAAATGCTCACAAACTATTTCTTATTGCTCGAAATAAGACGACAACTTTGCACATGAACAACAGTCATGGCCTTTCAACTTTTTAATCTCCTGAGAAATAAATTTCTGCTCGTGGTATATATCAATATATGTAAGGTCTGTAGGCGTAGACCGTAATTGTTAGTGCATATTTGTGTTGAAACCCGTCAACCCCTGTGAAATATACACCTGCTGCCATCAGACAGTCTTTAGTAGTATAAATGGGCGTTGTAACTTAACATACTAACAGCCTAGGTACATGCGCCAGAATACCGGCGAAACCTGTGTCTGGGCCTTTCGGCATGTACTTAGGCTGTTAGTG